GCATGAGAAGCAGTATCATCATCTTCAGCATCGTCATCGTCATCGTCATCATCATTATCATCATTAGCATCATGACCACCATCACCACCATTATCACGACTACCACCAGCATCAACACACAAAATCCAGCAACACCTGCACCACCATCACCATCCGAATCAGTATCCCCCGTCAGCATCACAATCCCCATCACCCGAATCACCCGAATCACCATCCGCATCAGCATCATCATGATCATCATCAGCAGCAGCATCTTCCTCACAATTGTCCTCATCATCCTCCTCGTTACGATCCTCACCATCTCGTCGCTGTCGTCCTCATCGTCCTCGTGATTATCGTCATCATCGTGATCATCCGCCAAATGTCGGAACTCCACCGCGCCCCCTGGAGAACCCCGGCAGACACTCCCACCGTGGGCCGACCAGGCTGCCTGCAAGGAGAGCGGGGGCGGAGGGAAAGCGGGAGGCAGGGAGGCAGAGAGGAGGAGGTGGAGGAGGAGGCGGAGGCGGAGGAGGAGGAGGATCGGCCCCACGTGGCTCCCAAACTCGGGTCAGCCAGAGCGGATTGGCTCACCCCCGGTAGCGCTGAGCCTCGCCACGTGCGCCCTCAGACGTTTTCCTTCTCTCTTCTACGGCTCAAGGGCCGCGTCCGTCAAGCAGACTGAGGATACGGGTCACGGAGGCGTTGGGGCAGCTGTGCCTGCCCCGCTCACGTGCGCCCACGGTCGTAGCCAAGCGGCTTTCAAACTCGGCCAATACTCTGGCCAATTCGGGCGTAAACGCCGGGTAAGCCCTGCGGGGGGGCGATAAATAGGGGGGGGCAAAGGTGCACTTCTCGGGCCCTGAAGGCTCCCTTTGGGGCCCTGAGGGGCCCCTGTAAGGATAGGGCCCTAAAGGGCACCTTTCCTGCAGTCCTCGCTGCCCCCCATTTATCGCCACCCATGACACGACACCCAAAAAAAGAGCCCCAAGCGGTTTGCCGGGCGCGATAAAATTTGGCCAGCTCCCCCAACGGTGCCAAAGAAACGCTGGGCCAAAGTGGAGCTTGGAGCCAGCAGCAGCAGCAGCAGCAGCAGCAGAAGCGATCGCCAGTGCAATGCAAGTCCACCCCCCCCGCTCCACTCGTCCCTTCCTCCTCCTCCCCCGCCTCCTCCTGTCGCACTTTTCCCTGTCGCACCCCGAGGCCAGTTTTTAGGGCGGGCTGGGCGTTTCGCCTGAGACAACCTCAAAATTTATGACTCTTAAAAAGGACGACAGCTTCACAGATGGAGGGCGGGTCGTTTTCAAAATGTAGATCTCGCCTTAGCGCCGCGCACATCCGTTTTCAAAATTTGCAAACGCTTCACGGATTGAGGATGGGTCGTTTTCAAAATGTGGCTCTCGCCTTAGCGCCGCGCACATTCGTTCTAAAAATTTGCAAGAGCTTCACGGATTGAGGGTGGGTGGTTTTCAAAGTGTGGCTCTCGCCGTAGCGCCGCGCACATTCGTTTTCAAAATGTGCAAGAGCTTCACGGGTTGAGGACGAGTCGTTTTCAAAATATGGCTCTCGCCTTGGCGCCGCGCACATTCGTTTTCAAAATTTGCAAACGCTTCACGGATTGAGGGCGGTTGGTTTTCAACATGTGGCTCTCGCCTTAGCGCCGCGCACATTCGTTTTCAAAATTTGCAAGAGGGATTGAAGGCGGGTCGTTTTCAAAATACGGCTGTTGCCTTAGCGCCGCGCACATTCTTTTTCAAAATTTGCAAGAGCTTTACGGACTCAGGGCGGGTCGTTTTCAAAATGTGGCTCTCGCCTTAGCGCCGCGCACATTCGTTTTCAAAATTTGCAAGAGATTCACGGATTGAGGGTGGGTGGTTTTGAAAGTGTGGCTCTCGCCGTAGCGCCGCGCACATTCGTTTTCAAAATTGGCCAGAGCTTCACGGTTTGAGGACGAGTCGTTTTCAAAATATGGCTCTCGCCTTGGCGCCGCGCACATTCGTTTTCAAAATTTGCAAACGCTTCACGGATTGAGGGCGGTTCCTCTTCAATATGTGGATCTCGCCTTAGCGCCGCGCCCATTCGTTTCGAACAAATTGCCAGAACTTTACGAACTCCCATGATCAACGTGCCAGGCATTGCGTTTTGGAAGGATTCCGGATTACACGGGTGCAACAGTTATGTTGATTCGCTGTGATGAAGTCCCAACGATGGCGCTCTGGCGCGATACTGGATCGCCAAGAACGTAGCAGTCAGGTTGATACGTGGCGTTGAAATCCCGAGAACCATGCTCTGGCATGCTTCAGGATCTTCAAGCGGTTGTCTTCCAACGAGGCAGTCCCTCAATGGAAATGAACCGTTATAGGGGCCTATGGAGGGAGGCTTGGAAAGGGTTAATTCCGACATCGTTGATGACTCTTGGGTTTACACTCGTCATCCTCCTCCTCCTCCTCCTCCTCCTTCTCCTCCTCCTCCTCCTCCTCCGCCTCCTCTTCCTCTTCCTCCCCCTCCTCCTCCTCCTCCT